AACCTTCTTTCCAAGGAGTGGCTGGTGGATTTGAACTGCCAGCCTTCTGGTTAGCAGTCAAGTGCCTTAGGCACTATGCTACCAGAGCTCCTTTTGCCTAGTTAGTGTACCGATTATTGAAAGAGAAGCATTGAAATTTCCTACTATTGAAATTGAAATCTTAGCTGTGAGTCTAAAGCTTTTTCTAGTTAACAGCAGCACCTGTGAAGAAATATGCAGAGACCCGTGTTTGATTACATGCAAACACACTGAGAATCATTTTAGAGGTGTTGTGTTAGAATATCCAGATTTTCATATATTTCCACATTGTTTATTCTCTGGTAGCATAGTGCCTAAGGTACTTGACTGCTAACCAGAAGGCTGGTGGTTCAAACCCACCAGCCACTCCTTGGAAGGAAAATGGGGCAATCTACTTCTGTAGTGATACTGCCTCAGAAATCCAAGGAGGGGTCGCTATGAGTCAAGTCTGACTCGAGGACACATAACAACAACAACATATTCTGGCAAAGAGAAGTGCTGGAAAAGTGATTATTATTTTATGTATAAATGAAGGTTTATTCTCCAATAAATTTACCATTAAGGACAATGTTAGTTATCATTAGTCTTTCTTAGTCACACGATGTATCACTTGCTTCAGACTTTGAAGATAGGGCAGTGCTCTATCTCAGCATTTGACATTTTCAAGCAACAAGAAAGTTAGTTGCCTTTTTAGAAGATATTTTAGACAACAAACAAATCATCTGTTATTTTAGATAACAAACAAATCATTTTTTGCTTTTTTTTTTTTACTTTAAAAAGAAACTTTGCATTTTACTTTACAGATAAAAAATATGCATGTTTACATTTCCTACTTCAGGTAACATAGTCATTTTGACATTTCCAGTGACCAGTGGAAAGCTCACAAATCATTTTAGCTAAACTCTTGGAGTAATTTAAAATATTGACTTTAGTATTGACTTTTATGACAGTCAAAATTGATCTAATAACTGAAATAGTAATGTTTAATAGAAGATTTTCGTAAAATTGTGTTAACATTATTGTCAACAATATTTTTTGGTACATATGTTGATATGCAGCTTCAATTTTCTAACACATTCAGTTGAGAGATAGACTTAATATTGACTGTAAAATGCCTGATAACTAGAAAGACAGCATATGAGGATAATTACCTTTTCAATCAGGAGGTTCTATTACTTTACTTTATCATTCTATAATGAAGATACTTACAGCTTACTAGAAAGTGTCGGAAGATCATGAATGATCTCTTCATATGGTTCTTCTTGTGCTAAGGTTGGAACAGATAAAGGTTCTTTCATTTTCTCTTCCCAGGCAATTTCCGCTTTTAGCAGCATTTCCTCAATAAAATCAGATGCGGCAATATCTTCATGAAACAATAAGAAAGTCAGGAAAAGTGAGTGGTAATATCACAGAAAACAATTTACTCTGAATAATTCTGATATTCTTAAAATATTAAAATTTATCAAGGCATAAAACAAAATGAACAACATTAAAGTTTATCATAGGAATAAAATTACATTACTCCCATCTTGAAAGACCATCTTGTTTTACATCAATGACACATTTAATTACAAATGAAATGAAAAACATAAAAATACTGTAATAGTTACTGGATGGTTATAAGTAAAATTAAAAATAATTGAGAAGCTAAGCTTGAAAGAACATAATGTCATTTTATTCTCCATAAAACTCTTTCTGCATCCTCAGGAATATGAATGAAAAATTATGGAAATAGTTATATGTATCAAAATTCTGGTTAATATATAAAACATGTACTAGGTATTCTCTAAGTATGCTACTAAATGAATAAAAGAATAAATAATCTTGGTTGTGTTATTAATGCAGTGGTTTTGACCTTCCTCTATGATCTTAATATTTTTATTCAGATCATCAGATAGTTATGTATGTTCATATATACACTTATATATTAATGACAATACTGACAATTACATATGATAATTATATAGAAGCATCAATAATTAATTCCTTACAGATTATACTTAAACACTAGCATCTGAACATGTTTGAGGAACAATGTAGTTATGTATCCATTAAGTTCACATCTAATAACAATGGAAACTGAATATTGATAGATTCTGAAGAAAAATTCACATTAATAACATTTAAGAACCTAGTAAAGACAACTGATAGTTTTCAATCCTCATGAATAAATTGCATGACCACCAGTTATCTATAAATTTGAGTTATGTGGCCTTATGGTTTTGATGGTATAAGTCATCTACTTTCAAGAAGATATATATGGCTGGATTTTAATCATTATTTACCTTAGCTATCAGGAAGAGCTGACATCTCAGGTTCTATACTTTGGTACACTTAGTTTCTGTCCCACCAACAACTGATTCTCAAACTTCTTTTTCTATACACATATATAATATGTCTATTCCAAATTCAAAGGAGCTCTGGTGATGTAATAGGTAATTCATTTGGCTGTTAACCAAAAGGTCAGTGGTTCAAACCCACCAGGCATTCCATGTAAGAAAGATGAGGCAGTATACTTCCATAAAGATTGATAGCCTTGGAAACTCAATGGGGGTTGCTATGAGGTGGAATCTACTGGATGGCAGTGAATTTTTTTTTTTCTCCCCAAATTCAAGAAGGAAATATTAAATAATGATGATGTAATATAGTAAACATGGTGATTTTTATTTGCTGAGTCATTTTGTGCACTCCTAGTTCACTGCTCTGCTGTGTATTATTATTTTATCTGCTTCATTCTTCTTGGCAGGCATTAACTAAACCAAACCTATTGCTGTGGAGTCCATTCTGACTCATAGTAAATTTATAGGACAGAGTAGAACTGATGATATTTTAGTTGACAGTCCAGTGTTCAACCATTGCACCACCAGAGGTGATTGATTAGACATTGGTATTTTCTTCATTTACTTGAAACTTCTCATTACATTATGACTCTTTGCCCCTTGTATGTGAGAGAATATTTTTATTTAATCAATAGATATTTCTTGAGAGCTAGTATGGCTCTAGCCTTGTTCCTATATAGCAAAGCATGATAAAGGTAGTACACTGTTGTAAGTCTTCGAAGGAGTAAAATGGGCAAACTAAGAAGCATCACACACTATACCTGAGGTGACCAGAGCTAAACCTACACCAGAAGATATTTATTCATTTATTGATGCTTTATAATTGTTGATTACTATTGCTTTCATAACAATATTGGCATAGTTGACACTAGATTCAATATGCAAAAAAATGTGACAGAGGGTCATCCTTGTAGTCAATGGTCAACCTTATCTTCCCTTCTTTGGGAAAGAAGCCAAGGATATGAACTCAGAAAGTGTGAGTTTGTTAATCAGAGTAGAGTTAACAGAAGATGTGACCTACATTTCACACACACACACACACACACACAGTAAAAGAGAGACGAAATCTAAAAATTTCTATTTGCTGTTTTAAATATTTACTATTAGATGTACATTTGTAGGTAGAGTCAATATTAATATCACTAATATTAACCTGGGTCAAAACTTTGTGACTAGTAAGCTATTTCATAGTTCTGTGTCTTAAATCTTCAGTTTATTTCAGTAGAAAAGATGAAGTAATGAATATAAATAAATAATACTTAATTGCAATAAAAAAAAAAAAAGAAATAGAGTAAATCTCTGCCTTGATTTAAACAAGAAGTTTATCAGGTAATCATGCTCCTAGAATTACATCAAAAAAGAAGTAACAGGTATAAAATACTTTTAGATTAGTAGAGGTCTGACAAGAATAAATCAACTTGTCAAGTTATTCAGATACATTACTACATTAAATTTTTTATGCTATTTTGTTACTTATTCCAGATTTCTCTTTTATTATTTAGAATTTTCTTTTATTTTTAATATACCCACCAAAAATTATGAGTAGCAACTTTGCTGTTAAATCTTTATTTATTTATTTAACTTTTGCAGTGTCCCCTCTCCTAGAAAATTAATGTGGCAGTGATTTATAAAATAAGTATGTAAGTATGTAAAATAAGAGTGGAAAAAAGGAATCTAAAAATCTTCAAGACATTTATTAAAGATAAGAAATATGAAGTCAAGATTTTAAAACTTATAAATTAGCTTAAAAATGTCTGTCTTTCTATATTTCTTGCAGTAAAAATATCTATGCAGAAAAACTTTTAATTGTTGTTTTAAAATACCATAATAAATAAGCATGCATTCAGTATGAGAATAATTAAACAGCAGTAAAAATAAATTATAAAATAAGTGACTTTTGAAGAAATTTTTGCCCTGAAGTTTAAAGCATGAAAGCACAATGCAATGAAGTATGGAAGTACCCTATAAACTTAGCTGCTCTGTTAATATTCTATTCTAATGGAACAGTGCATATGATATTCTGAATTGAACCAGTATTGTTTATACACAGCTTCACAGGATAGTCTGACTTTCATTCTGTAGTCACAATAATTATGGCTGAACAACTTCAATATGATGGAAAGGAAGTAGTAACTGCCCAATGATCCCAGGATACTCATAAACTACCTGAAGGCTTCTCTTCATTGCAGTTCAGGAGGTTTGGGTTTGCATGATTCATCAAAAGAAGTTTCACCAGGTTTGTCTGAAACATTAAAGAAAATTGAAATAGAAAATATAATGTAAGACACTGAAAGTCATCAGTAAATAATACAGTTACTGCCCTCAAGGGACACTTATGTCTAGTGGAATGACAATGAATTAGCTTAACCTAGTGCACTAAATTTATCTTTCTATCCCATTCTCTCTCTTTCTGTCTCTCCAAATATCTCCAGAATGTGGGGTTCTTTTCATTACTCTTTAACAGAACCAATTTTGGGTATTGTTGTTCCTTTCTACTACCTCTTTGCTTTAAAATTAAATACTCCATGTTCTTATTTTTTATATACCATTTTTGCATCACTTGTATTTATTGTATTAATGTTTATTCAAATTTCTTAAGTTTCTCATTAATCTTGAGCCTCTCTTCTTTTTCAATATAAGAATTTATTTTATGATTCACAAATTTAAAAGCTACACATTTTCATTAAAGCAGTATGTCTTCTATCTTTCACAGGTTGACATACATTCTGTTCTAAATATCTTTAAATTTTGATTTCTACTTAGATTATATGGCATAGTATTTTCTGAAATAATATGTTTCTGTAATACAAAATAATTATTGCTCAATTGATAAATATTTGTTCATAAGCATCTTTTCTCAGGCAAGAAAAATAAACAATAAAATTAAAAGACCTCAACTAAATAGTTTCACTGGAAACTGGAAACCCTTTAGGTGTATTTTTCTCTTTTTACTAATATTTTATTATTATTACTACTATGGAAGGATAATATCAATGCACTAATATGCACAATAATATGCACAGATACTAAGAATTTCAAAAATGTATATGCAGGGTAAACACCTTTAAAATAAATGTGTAGATATTTCATCTCAAATAGTTTCTTCCTGCCCTTTGCCAGTCAATTCTCTCCCCCTCATACATACAAAAAATAGTCTGATTTATGTCACCTTGAACTTGTTTTGCTACTCTTTTTGAACATATAAATAGAATCCAGAAATATGTATCCCTTGGTGTCTGGCTTGATTTGCTCAACATACTATTTTTGTGATTCATCTGCATTTTTGCATTATTAGGATTTTGTCACTTCTTATTGCTTAGTTATAGTTCATTGCATAAATATAGTATACTTTATTCATCAATTTTCCATCTAATGGAGTTTTTCCCAGTTTTTGGCTACTTTGAACACAGCTGTTATGGATATAAAATTATTTATGGAGATATGCTTCATTTTTCTTTTGAAAATCCATAAGAGTGATTTTACTGGGCCATTTGCTAAGTGCATATTTAGCCACATAAGAAACTGCCAATTTTTGAAAGTGTTGGTATCATTGTGCATTCTCACTAACAATTTTGTATCACATCCTCTCCAATACTTGGCATTGTCTTAAAAAAAAATTATATTGAGTGTGAAATAGTACCTCAGTGTGGGTTAAGTTATATTTCTCTGATAACTGATTATATTGAACACCTTTACATGTGCTTAGTGGTCATTTTTATAGTTTCTTTTATGAAATGTCACTTAAGATTATTTTTTCCATTTATTACAGGATTATCTTTTTATTATTGGTCTATGAGAGTTCTCTATATGTTCTGCATACAAATAATTAGATATAAGTGGTGTAATAGTTAAGGTGTATGTTCAACTTGGCTGGGCCTGGTTTTGAGTGGCTGGGCAGCTGGATGTAGTTATTTCCCATAATGAGACTGGGGCAGCTGAGTAGCTGCCTTAAGGATGTGGTCTGCTTCCGATATAGAGGAAGCAGCTTTGAAGAAGATCTTGAGTTTTGGGCATACTTGGACCCTACATGTAGCCAAGTTTTCGTTCAGCAGCCTGCTATGCTGTCTGCGGATCTTGGGATTGTTCCCAGATTTGAAACAACACCCTGCCATGTTGTCTACTATCTTGGGACTCAGTCATTTTACTTGTCAACCTTGAATTTGTCAGCCTCAGCAACCAGTAGCTGTCTTAGGTAAGAGATACCTCTAGGTCCAATGGTCTGGGGCAAGAGGCAGAGCTGAAGCCCAAGGTAGAGGGGCCTTCACCCAACCCCTAGAGTTTATAGTTTGAACTCAGACTTATAGCCTCCTGAACACTAGGAGAATAAATTCCTGATTTTCAAGTCATGCACTTGTATTTTCTTTTAGAACAGCACTAGAGAATCAAAACAGATGGACAGATAGATAGATGGACTATTTCATCCCATTTCTACCTTCCTTGCATATTCATTTTCTTAAAAATGTCTTTTGATGAGCAGAAGAATTTTGTATTTATTTCTAAATTTTGATAGATTCAACATCTTTATTTTTTCTACTGGTTACTGACTTTGTCACAAGAAATCTTTATCTACCCAAAGTCATGAAGATACTGTGATATATTTTCTTTTAAAATTGCTATAATTTTAACTTTTATTCTTATGTTTAGAAAATATCTCAAGTGAAATTTTATAAATGACATACAAAAGGCTCTAGGTTCATTTTGTCTCATCCCAGTTTGTTTAAGAGTACAATTTGTTGAAAGACTATTCTCCCAATTGAATTGCCTTGGTGCTTTTGTAAAGAACCAATTGACTCTGTATGTTACAGTCCATTTCTTGACCTGGTATTTTTTGATCCATAGATCTATTTCTCTATCAAATTACCTAACTGTTTTTATAACTGTAACTTTATAGAAAGTCATGACATAAGGTAGTGGAAGTCTTCTTTGTTGTCCTTTTTGAAGATAGTGTTGGCTTCTATAGCTCCTTTGCATTTCCAAAAAGTATTTTGCCATAAACTTTTCAATTCTACAAGAGAAGCTACTAGGATTTCTATTAAAATCACTTTAAGTAGATAGAGACAGCATTTGTTTTCTAGGGATGCTGTAAGAAATTCTCATATACTTGATGGCTTAAACAAAACAAATTTATTACCTTATACTTTGGTAAATCAGCAGTCTGATATGGGTTTCACTGGGATAAATTTAGTGTCATAAAGCCTGCATTTCTTTCTGGAAGTTCTGGGGGTAATTCTATTACTTTGCTTTTTCTAGCTTCCAGAGCTGTCTATATTCCTTGGCTGGTCCCCACCTTCCTTCATCTCAAAGGCAGGAATGTTGTATCTCTCTGATTATTCTTTATCAGCCACATTTCTCTTTAACATTGAGCCAGAAAATTTTCTTTGCTTTTAAGGATTTATGTGATTAGATTGGGTATACCTAGATAATCCAAAATAATCTCCTCCATTTAAAAGTCAGTAATTTAATCACATCCAGAAAATTAATTTGCCATTTAATGTTATATAGCAAACATTCTGGGGATGAGGTGTAGCCATACTTGGGTGGGAGGTGTGTGCTATATTCTGCTACGAAAGATACTTTAATAATATTTACTCTACCATTCTATGAATATGGTACCTCTGTGTTTACTTAGGTTTCTGTAGGTTCTTATTATAAAGTTTTGTAGTTTTCAGTATAGAAATCTTGCACATCATTTCTTAAATATATTCCTATATATGTTATTTTTTAGTGCAAATGTAAATAATCTTTATAAAACACTTAATAGGTCTAACAGTTTGTATGAGAGAGTGTGCAAAAGAGTTTCTTTACAATTTTATGTACAAAATCATATTGCCTGTTACACAAGGAAAGTTTTACTTTCTCCTTTCCTGATTGTATGTTTTTCCTTCCATCCCTTGCTTTATTATACTGTCTAAAACAAACCTGTTTTTCTTCAATGCACTGTTGGTTTTTTTTTTTTTTTTTTTTTTGCATTTGTTACATGCACTGGGGCACCCTTTAGTAATGCTGAGCTTCTTGTCTAGGAATTCCAAGTTATCTTCTCAAATATTAATTAATATTCAGTGCTCTCACTATAAAATTAATTAGGTTTTGAATACTCTGCCCCATTTCTAGCTTTCCCATAAGCCCATTAAAAATTGTTGTTGCTGTTGTTATGTGCCTTCGAGTTGGACCCAACTCATAGAGACCCCTCCTTGGGTTCCCAAGGCAGTATCACAAATTAGTGCATGGTTTTGAAGAACACAAATTTTATCAGTAACACACAAAATAGAGTATTTGTATTTAGAAGTTATTTTTATTTTATATAGATATAGTTTACTAAAGAAGGAGAAGTTCTGTTGAAATCTGAAAGATAAAAATTTAAAAACCAGGTTCCCAGGAAATTAAAATATATAGAGGGAAGTGATATTCATTGTAAAAATAATGTTCTTTGAAATGAAGTATTCCAACACACTTCAAATATGTGACTTCAAATATGTGAATTAGGAAGACAATAGAGTTGAGATATAGCAAATGCCTATTCAATAATTTTTAAAAGCTGTCATAGAACTTTGGAGATAAAAGGTGATTCTAACCTGTCTTGTTTTATATTAATGATCTGAGAAATCTGCTTGCTTTTAGCCCATGGGACAGAAATTTAGCAAGGAAGAGGAAAAGAAAAGGCAATGGGAAGATTGGTGGAAGACGAAAGAAAGAGATAGGGAAGTTGAAAGGGAAAGAAAGAAGGAAAAAGGAAAACCAAGAATTAAGTAAGATTGTCTTTGTATTTTAATAAATTTGAAGGAACAGCACCAAGCCAAAATATTTTATATATGTGCAAAAATGTAAGAATATGGTAACAGAGACTCTGACAATTATTTTACACTTCTATATCCGATTAACTCATTGCAGTAGAATTCCAAAGAGAACTCTCTGCATCCCATCAACAAAATACCTAGCTTCAACTATAACTACAAAAAAAGCATTGAAGCAATAAAAGGAAGCTGTTTCCTACATGAATATCTTTAACAACAAAAATGTAATTTCCTTTTATTTCAAGACTGCAAACATAAACATTTATGTGTGGAATAAGATACTTCTCCCCCTTGGGAAATTTGGTCATGTGGAGTCCATTTTAT